GGCCCTGGATGATCGCCCCGAGGACTGCTTCCGTTTTCGGGTGGCGTCGGGACGCCGTAAAGTGTTTGGAGAACAGGTCCTTCAAGACCCTCCATGACGTAACTGATTCGGGCTCCAGACTTTTATACCAGGTCATAGCGCCCTTCCTCAAAGTCGTCGGGAAAAGTCTGCACTTGATGGCTCCCCGGACGTTTCGGTAATCGAGCATGGCCTCGATATCCTTTAGGTGATCGTCCGGGTCGGTCGTGTCGTCGTACGTCGACAGCGTCAGGGGCTTCTCCATCCCTTGGGGTATGGGGGCAGCCATGATTTCTCGGGACAGCGGGGTGCGGTAGTCGTCCTCGTCGCTGGGTGCCGGGGATCGATGGGGAGATGAGCCGTTCAAATTAGGCCCCTGGTTTCGGGTTCTCGTCCTCCTGCCTGGGTTGTCGCCTCGAGGATCTCCGGTCGGGATCGCCGCAGTGCTCTGGTTCCTCTCACGAACGTGCCTTGCTGGGGATCTGGTGCGTTCTCGTGTCACCTGTGTGCGGTGCCTCTCCAGCCGCGGCCGGCGGTTTCTGGGTCGAGGTGAGGGGCTCCTCGAACCTCCGTTCTGGTCTTCCCGCGGGGGGTACCTCGGAGGACCGATGCGTTCTAATGCTCCAATTCTCGCATTTTGTTGGAACAGCAGCTGGTTCGTCTGGTTGATGGCCGTAAAGAGGGCGGCCACCGTTGGGTCCGCTCCCGCCGGGATGGGAACGGGGTGGAATGCTGGCGGGCTCGGGGGCCGTTGGTCGACCTGAAGGGGCCGCTCCGCGGATGACGGTGAAGCAATTTGGCCGTCCCTTTCGTCGGTTTCCGTCGGACGCGTCGTTCCTGTCTGCTTGTTTTCGTTGGTGGCGACGTTGAGCACGAGGTCGTGCGGAGTGCCGTCGCGGTGTGGACTAGCCATGATCGTAGAGGCTTGGTGAAACTTTTGGTTTTCTGCTCGGAGTAACGGGGAAGTTTCAAATTCCCACAGACGGCGCCACTGATCTGACCTGATCAGAAGGGGATCACGGGCCGGCCACACTCTATTGGACTGCTACGTGCTCACCTGTGCTGAGGGGAAAGAAGAGGGTATACCTGCAAAACACTCCGATGCCAAAGTAAGAAATTGGGCAGAGCGAGAGCAAAGTATAGAAATTGGGCAAGAAGTGAATTACCTGACCCTCTTGAGGAAGAGGGTATTTATAGAGAGACCCCAGCGTTGGGCCAACGGTCATTTGAGATGGGCTGGATGACCAGGCCCAACCCTAATGACTGCTAGGGCTTACGTGGCGTAATGAAGACCAGGACGTGGTCTTCGCCCTAGTCCAACTGCTCCTTGATCTCCGGAAAGTGGGTTTGACCTGCTCTTTCGGAGGTGGGCAGTTGGTTGATGACGTGTCCTCGCGGAGGGGAGCACGTGGAGAACGTGCGCCGGGCACGTTGTTCTCCCCGCGGAGGGGAGCTCGGGAGGTTCCCCGGAGCGCGTTGTTCTCCCCGCGGAGGGGAGGAACCAAGGTCGTGCTTTGAGGCGTCGGGGTCTGTTCTGTTCGGCTGGTAAGAGGGGACGACGAGATGCTGTTGGACGCGCTGCTTGTGTCCGGTGGCGTGCTCTGCTCGTCTTGCAGGACGCACGTGCCCGGCGTGCCCGATTCGCCCGTTGGGCCGTACGTGGTATTGGGCCTGCCGAGGTCGGGCCCATACCGGAACAGGTATAATTGAAAAAGGTGCATTGGATATTGAAATGAGTCATTTATTTTGGGACACTTTTTTATTCTAAATGGATCATTCATTGTGGAACAGAGGGAGCATTATCTAACGTTTGATAACACCAAAATTTTGTTGACTATCCATTGTTTTTGTTAGAGGCCAATTTATTAGTACAAGATATTACGATGTTTCTTACTCTACGGTCAACCAACCTAACATCTTCGTTCTTTTTTTCCTATATGCAACTCATTTATATTACTCCTCCATCCCACAATGAGTGAGTCATTTGAAATAAAAAAGTATCCTAAAATAAAGGATCTGTTTTAATCTCCAATGCACCTCTTTTAATTCTACTCTCGAAATAATATTATTTTCATCATTCTCAATACTTGATAAGGGATACTTTGATAAAAATATTATTCTCTTTTTTTATTTATTCTTTTTTTTACTGTGTAAAATAGTCAACTGGGTCACTGATTATGAGACGAAGAAAATAATTATTTTTGGAATCATGGGACCCTACTTGAAGGAAAAGATATTGTACTATATTTCTTAAGTGTTTGGGTAGGCATCTCCACTTAGATTAGTTAAGAGGAAAATTAAATGCTTTTAAAACTTTTATGCATAGATCACCTTCTTTCTTTATATTTGCATATTTTTTCCTACTAATCCAATTAATCTTTCTCTCCTCTGTGCATCCACCCCATAGAAAACTTCTATGAATGCTTGTTAAATAGTGAATAATCTTTTTTAATTCATTATAAAACGATAAGAAAAATAGTGGAATAATGTTGAGTACAACATTGATGAGAATGACTCTCTCTTATTAAACGGTGCTTTCTTTTCCACAACTCAAACATTTTCTTCACTTTGTTATTGACAGGTGTCCAAGTGACACATCTATGCGGATATGATCCAATTAGAAGGCCTAAGAACTTTAAAGGGAGGGTTTATTTGTCGCGTGATAAGAAGGATGATAAGAAAATTGGTGTTGCCCTAATAATTCATCTAAGATACCAACCCTTTTGAAAGAGTATCATGCTTTGGCGGTGGATGGTCAATCTGGTTTTTATAGAAATTATAAAAAAAATTAGCTTTTGTATATTGGGAGGGAATGAAAAAAAGACAATCCCTTACGACCCAGGCGCACTGGATTCTATATCCTTTCAATGGCGACAAATTCAAATATGTCATTACCATTCATTCTAAAATAGAGATAATTCACTCTACTTCTTGCAACTAATTTCCAAAATATTCTGAAATCGTAGATTTTGTATCATTATAACTTTCATGTCTGGGGCTTAATTCACCGATGGAGGTTTTCATGATGATGTCAGTTTTTTGATTCCGCCAAAACCATCAGATCAGATTGTTGCTGGGTTTTTGTGTTATGGAGAAAGTGAGTTTAAAAGGTGCGCCAACAATCTTTCTGAACATTCACCCACAAATGTTTTGTTAAAGTACCCTTGACACCCACTCATGTGAACATTACTCTCTTACAAGAATTGAAAACAATTTTAACTCTACTTCACAAATCTTCTTTACTTGAAAGCGTGCATTACAGCATCATTAAACTTAGAATTTCTTTGTCTCTTCTTGGTCCTGGTTTCATTAAGAGTTTCATTCTTTTGATATTGGATATTCAACTTGTTTTCCCCTATGACCAAAATTTTGGCCATCAAAGGAAACCGAGTATAACTCCAAATAGGAAATTTTATGTGGCCCAAATGAACCTGGGTTAATAGCCCACGTGCGTGTAAGCAAATGAACGTGGGTTAGAGTAAAAAGGAATTTGAACTTGTATATCTTCCAACTTGGGGTTTTAGTGTTCAACACTCATAAAAGTAATGGATATCATATTTTTAGTTTTCTAGACATGTTTGCCCAATGATTTTCGGAGATGCATTTTCTGTGATTGTTTTTGTTGATTGTATCTCTTGTTTCTTATTGTATTCCAAGATTGATGGTAAGTCTTTAGAATGTTGATGTATGCCTCTAACTAGTGTCAGATAACCTTGATTGTACCCATTGTTTGATTATAGTGGATATTTAAGTGGCCTACGGGTCTCATGGTTTTTTACTCCTAATTAACAGAGGTTTTTCCACACTAATGTTATGTTGTTTGGTGTGTTTTGTTCATTGTGGTTGCATTTGATATTTGGGAGAGATTGTTTTGTCGAATTATTCCGTTGTGTTTGTGGTTTCCTCCCAACAATCATATCATCTACAAATACTATGATGCTTTTGAAGGTGAGAAGAAGTCTGCAAATGTAGAAGTGTATTCAATAGAAGTGATTCAATTTCATGCTAAAATTTTCCAAAATTTTCCAAATAGTGACTGAAATTGTGAAGAAAATTAAGCAGAAAAATGGTCCTCATAGAGGAAGAGATTTCACATTAAAGAATACAGAAGAAGGAACGACTTTGGCGAGGTGAACGGAAAAAATCGTGATGCATTTCACAAGCTGCTGGAAGAACATTTTACTGATGGATTTCTTACTACTAAAACATAAAGGGGAAATTATTGCCTGAAGGTGAAAATGTTGCCTGAAGGTGAAAATGTTGCCTCATTAACAAAATGATAAATGCAATTAATACTTCTCTGTCAGGAGTCTATTCAATGCAATGTGGATGGTCTAGGATTCTTATTTAAGGCAATGGGGCAGTTCAATCATGAACTGATGCTACAAGGCAGTATCAAGAGATTTTTCTATAAGCATATTATAACATGGATCAACAAAGCCTTTTTCATTTTTCTGGGGTTGTTTTTAAGAATACAGGAAAAGGGCTCAGTGAGCTTTTCTTTGGACTATGATTTTGCAGCAAGAGTTCCTTAAAAAATACAAAAACAATTACATAGTCACATGTATCAAGGTTGTTGGCTATAGAAACTTAGGCAGGGATTATGTTGAACATGTAGTTGGATATGTCTACACTTGACAAGTCCCTTACTGTTATTAGACTTGCTTGACTACATTATATTAAAACATTGAAACGGAACCACAAAAACACTTAACAATTATGATGATACAACAATGAATACAAAATAAAACAATGGCCATTTACTCTATGGTGAATACAACTCAAGCCCTTCTTTACACATAGTTATTTTATCCAGTAATAATAATAATCACAACCAGGAAATCTTTCATAGGCTATGAAATTGATGGTTTTGATGTCATAACCATTCTTTTAAGTCCCGAGACTCCTTGTACTAATGCTTCCCCCTATGTTAAACTATTGTAAGATAGCATATGCATAGAACCTTCACCATGCAAATTACTTCAGTTCTTCACCATGTTTTTCTCATTAGGGGTGTGAGCTTGTATTTCTGCAGGTGAAGACGACCCGTTGCTGCATTGCTCTTTAAAACCGACAACAGGATCAGCATATAACTGGAAACAAGGTACCCTACACAAGCATGTCCAAAGATGAATTAATTTCACAATGTTAATATTTATCTATTACTCGGCTTAATAGGCTATTCTGTATTATTCTTGGCCTGCACCTATCTTCTTTCTTTTCCATAACAAATATATAAATCGAGAGACTAACAACATTGAGTCTTGTTAAAATTCTTCTCTCGATTCTTACCAAAAATAAAAATGCAAAATAGTTCATTGGAGACACTTACCTGCTTGCCTTTATAACTTCATCGCCTATTGTTATTTCCGCGTAAAAACTGTTGCCTGCAAAGAAAAATGATAAGTACATTTACAATTACATTTTCCTCATAAAAAGTGATGTTGTTGCAGTCTAAAATTACATTAATGACACTTGTGTGTTAACCTTCACTACTTAATATTCATTCTGATAATTTCGAAAACATGAATGCTTTACTTGAATACGGATCACTATAAATAAGCACAAGAGAAGTTGCAGTAGAGATTACGCACTGCAGAATTATAACTAAAATATAGGTTAATTATATCATGGCAATTGTTGTTTACCTCCATTAAGGGTTTTTCCTGAGAAGTATTTCGCCAACATACGATGAGTGAATTCATTCTCATAATTCCTAAACCTCTCAATGTACTGCTTGCTGTCCAGGTGACTAAAAAAATGAAATGGTAAATCATCTTAATCTGCACATATTTTTTTTCCATAAAAATAAAGGGAAAGAAAAATTAAATTCAACAATAGCAGCAAATGACATCAAGAAGTTAAATCATTTGTGCATATTGGACAAACAATTTGCATGTACCAAAAAGCAATATGGCTGAGGAGATCAGAAGAACAGCTGAATTCATCGAAAGAAATCTATGTGAGATTTTATCGTGTGCAATATAACATAATGAACTGGCACTAGTTTTCCTCACTCCTCAGCTACTTTGGTGGAGGAATTAGAGCATATAATAAAGAAATTAACATTTGCAATTATTGTCTCCAAACAAACAATCAGTGAATATAAACTAAATTTGCAATTATGTGATAATCCAACATGCACCATGACTAAGTTACAACTACATTACAAAAAATGCATACCAGTATGATCACACAAACTAACATCATGCAGTTTAATGCTTTAAGTTAATATTAAAAAGATGGGTTCAATCCTTCCTTCAATCTTCCCATAGCCGACCTCCACTCCGCACCACTATCCTGCTATAGCGCTGCTATTGACTTTCCATATTGCATAGTTAAGGATCCAGATTCACTATCATCAATATATTCCTCCTGTCGCTGCAGTTGAGCAAACCTCACCATTCAAATGATCAAACGTGTTATATCTTGGGGATAAATTTGATTGGGAAAACACGGCGAGGACCAAAAAGCGGTGAAAAACAAATTGTGTACATGTAAGAGGTTGAACACAGCCTTGATCAATTTCAGGAAGGATTGGAAAATTGAGGTTAAGAGACAGCCCTCTATCTGTTAAGGAATGTGTGAAGCTGACGGGCTGGAAATATCAATGAAGAGAGAGGCGGTGCAATAGTTTGATTCTATAGGACAGAGTATAGGTTCGCTTCAGTTTCATCATGACTTGAGAGAATATAGCACAATTGACCACTGAAACAGATGGGATTTGTTCAACTGCAGTCAAAATAAGAAAACAATGACTGTAGTGACCCGTTGCCCATCCCATCTCCAAATAAAACATGAACAAACAGCATTCTTACTGTTTTTCCAAACAGCCGATTATTAACAAATCACTTTTGAGTTAAAATTTCCTAAAAGAGGCAGACCCATTCAGTGTGTGATTGAAGGCATGCCCATTATCTTTCTTAATCATTACTTGCAAATTATTAATGTAATAAAAGCAACCCGCAGGGTTTTTGAATGTTGGCATTTCAAGTCGGGAGAACCCGAATACCAATCCTTGCAAAAAAATTCTTGGTTAAAGTTTATTCACTTTCTGGTCAAATTCCAAATTATGACAGGGCCTCATTCATCTTTTATACATAGAAAAAGAATAGTTTTTTCAAAACAATAATAACATAGAAAAGTCAAGTCCTAGCACCAAATTTGAATCCTAATCGAAATAATCCTAGTAAGAGTAGGTTGTCAATAGTGCGCCATAGCCTCGCGGTGTAGCCCCACACTGCTACTAGACACCAATCTAGACTTGCTACAATTGGGCCTAATAGAGATGAGCAATTGGAGGTGGAAGAACAAGAGTTTGAATCAAGTGATGAACAAGATAATATTAATATTAATATGGTGGAACTTAGAAGTGAAGAGAGACAGACGCGAACGATATATAGAAATTTTATTTTGTTTACTTTTAAAATTTTGATTTGGTCATTTTGAATAATTTATAATTTGATTTTGATGGAAAGTCATATCTATTAATTGTTCATTTAAATTTTCTTGTTTTTCTATTTTTAAGTATTTATGTATGCCATTGGAATTTATGTCTATTATGTATACTCTTTTGTTACATTAATCTAATGGCAGCAATTTCTGAGATGTCACAGGTTCAAACCAGCGGCAACTCAGTATGATGTTCTTCCACAAACATCCGATATTAACAACCTAGGATTGATACGAAAATATTTAACAGCATAAAAATTGAAGAACTCTAAAAGATTTCACACAGAAAAAGAAAATTAAAATAGGCAAATTTTAAATTAAAAAAACAAAACAGGATCTTACTCAAGTCCATCATCATTGTCAGGTTTTACTTCATCGGGAAACAATAAACCCCCATTTTTTACAGCATCACCCTCCACCTTTCAAAACCCTATAAATAATTAGCAAAAATAGGAGAGAGAAGAAGAAGAAAAAGGCGAGAGATAGGTAAAGTGAGTCACCGGGTTGATTGAGACGTGAGGGGTGGAGTTTGTGGATTCAGTGGCGGAGAGAGCGGCTGTGCGTCGAGGTGAAGAAGGCGCGCTTGCCGTATTCAAGTTGTTTTCTTTCTCTTCTCCGCTGCCTTTTGATGAAGTACCCATGTCTCAATACTCTATTTTCTTCTTTCTTTTTCATATTAGTACTGTCTTTTGTTTACATAGGAATAGGAAGAGAAATTCAGTTTATTTAATAATAAAATTTAAATTTTTTATATTTATCCATTATATAACAAAAAATTAAAATTAATTTTTAATAATAAACTGAAACTTTTTTATTTTTGAAAACATAATATATACATTTTTAATTTATTATTAAATTAATTAACTTTAAAATAATTTATTTAAAATAATATTTATTAATTAAGATAATCTTTTAAATGAGAAATATTAACAAAGAATAAAGAATAAGTGGTAAGAGGTTGTATTATGGGAGAGAGGTCATATTTCAATTTATATTGAACGTAATTTTTTGATATTTTCAGCTTTTTAGTTTTAAAATTAAATTAAAAAAAGTCAGGTGGAATTAAAAATAAATAAAATAATAATAATAAATGCATGTCACCATATTAGCATTAATAAAAATAAAAAAATACTTAATCAAGACACAACATAGGTGTTTTTGCTAAGTATTTATTTATAAAATCTAAAACGATAAAATCTTTATCTGGTAGTTAATTTTACAATATTTTTTTTAGAAGAAGAAATCCGAAATCGCTTGCATAGGACAAAAAATACTATTAACCAAATTTAAATTGTATTATACTAGTCCTTTATTTTAAAATAGTTGAATTATTTATAAAATTAAATTAAATAGAAAACTCCTTTCAATTCATCATTACTTACAATTTTTTAATTGTTCTATCTAATTAATATTATTTGTATGATTTACAATTTAACACTTCATTTTTCTATAATGGTATGGATTCAATCCATATTTATTATCAATTGTACATTATAAAGTACTCAAAAGAACAATTGAGATTTAAACTCTTTCGATACGATTATTTTGGAGCTTATAGTTAATAAGTTCATATGATAATAAAATATTTGTTTGACAACGGTCTTTTTATCACGAGTTTATAGCTTATTTTACTAATTTATAGTTTATTTTTTAAACGTTATTTTAAATAGTGTTTTACTTTATAGCTTATAGCTTATCATTTTTTCTTTCACTTTTGTCCTTATTATTTTAATTAAAATTTACTATTACCCTTTATAATTTATTTTAATTTAAATAAAACAATTATATATTAAATATCTTTTATATCATTTTAATTTATTGACTAATAGAACCACTAATTTTATCAAACACTTCAATTAACTTATCAGCTATAAGTCATCAATTATTAACTATAAACTATAAGTTATCAGTCATCAACCATCAACTATAAATTCTAAACTATCAACGAACTTATCAACCAACTGCTATTTTTACCAAACAGAACCTTAATAACCAAACCTAAATGCATAAGAGAATGAATAATGTTAACTTATGCTTTAGGAACACTATCCAACATCGTCTTGAAAATTAACACGCCTATACCTAAGAAATCTAGAAGAACGTGCATGCTTTCACCATTCTAAAATACCTTGGTCATATTCAAACTAGATCGGTTTATGATTGGAAGATGGACCTAAGGGAGCATATGGCATTTTTCAATGCCATGGTGAAACTTCAAAAAACATTTGACGGTCTAAAGTTCATTGTCTTTCCATGCACCCTCAAGACAGTTATCCTATTATGCTTCACACATATCTCAATGAAATTTGTCAGGTATGTAAGCCACGAACTGATATATTTGTGTCCAAATTTACAACAAGTTGAATCACGCAAAAGAGTTCTACATATCTTTTTGGATTCATACATAAGTATAATGAGTCCCTCAACTTATTCATAATTTTATTTAATGATGAGTTATTCAAAATCAAAAGCTTAAACTTGGGAGTGGTATTAAATGTGTTAAGGGGAAGATCTCAAACCAAAACCATTTTATGACTTACTAACACATGTTTGGAAGGCTTACGAAATTAGTGAGGAAAACATAGTCATGGTAGAGATAGTTGCAGCAAAAAGATGAGACAGTAAAATATTTTCTCCAACTCTACCTTAGTGACATAGAAACCCATAAGAATATTTAGATATACGTACGCTTATAACCTAATCAACTTACCTCCATAGAGGGAAGAAAAGCTCGACATCAACACTAAATTGTACTGTGAATATCACATAATACATGGTCAGCCCATTAATGACTTCAAATGATTAATGATCTGGATCTCTGAAGTAAGGACATCTCTATAGTAGTCGTGTCGCAATGTCCGACACTTGTATGACATTCGTACGACATGTGTCAGAAAAGTTAAAAAAGTGTTGAAAAAGTCAGACAATTGTCTACTAAAAAATGATTTTTTTTGTCTGTTTCGACACTTTTTGAATCAATGGTTGAAGCCTGTATGACATTTATAACACATAGATAAGTTTCAAACAAATTTTTTTTCTTTGCTTCAACACACTTTTATACATATTTTGGATAAATCTCACACAAATTAAAAATTATTAAATGTGTATTTAAACAATGTTATCAATACATAATTAAAGATATTAATTTTGATTAAAATATTTTCAACTTTTTTAATCATAGATTGATAAATACACCTCAAATACTTTCTTATATATAGTAGTGTCAGTGTCTTATATTTTAACATTATCGATATCAGAGTGTCTGTGTTGTGTCGTGTTCCGGTATCCGAATCGAAGTCTCGGCTTCATAGATCTAGATCAATATTATTTCAAAAATAATTGCTAAGAGTGGACCTTCTACCGACGCTATAAAAAGATATATTTGAGCTTCAAAGTCAATATGCACCCATACACGGGTTGGAAACATCTCACTTACAATCAAATTTTCATAAAATAAAAAATCATTGGGGAATAAACTAGGAACAAGGTGACCCAATGGTCGTCTTGGTAGGAATGATGAACTACAACATGAAAAGAATCTTAATTGATAATGTAACTTGGCCAAAATCTACACGCACTTCGCATTTCTTGATTTGATCCTCAAATCGTATAGAAGTTTGTTGCTGGGATTATTGGGAAACAACACAAAAGTAATGGGATTCATAAAAGTCCTTATAAATTTTATACTAGTAATTAGTAAACGTTGGGTCCAAATTAGATCAAATAAGGCTACGGGTGGTTGATACAAAATCATCATGAGAAGCCTATTCGATTCAAAGACTATGGGCAATAATGCAAGTTTATAGAATGGGATATAAAATAGGATTGCAAACACAAGTCACAATCTATGGATATTTAAAAAAATATAGATAAACTATTTAAATAATTGCGAAGTATGTAATAATATAAAAAAGTTAATGGAATTCATTTAAAGAATCCAAATGAGTATAATAAATGTGGATGCTCTTAGCATTCGAAGAAGATGTCTTGAGTTTGATACTAGTTGAAAAAATTTAAAGATTTAAATACTCAGTGAACTTAAAGGAAAAAGTTATGCAAGAACAGCGCAACATTATAATACTAAGAGCATAAATATCGCTACACTTTTACTGTTTATACACGACAATCAAAGCTTCAATTGTTAGAACTAATAGATAGTTCAGCAAAAAATAACATCTAATATGTGAATGTTGTCTAATTTGTGACTGTTTTCTACGTGTCAACTGAATTATTAATTGAAAGAAAAATGTAGGAGTATATTGTATTGTGACAGTTATATTTTTTATATAATATAAATATGGAATATATTGTGAGATTTGGTAAGATCTATTTTAATGTTTTGATGGATTGTATGAATATTTAAAAAATATAGTAGAGTTGTTTAAAAAATAAAAAGATATAATATAATATAAAAATTCAGCAGATCACATTTAAAGAACTCAAATAAAAATTATGAACGTGGATGCTCTAATAAAATTGATCTTTTTCCTTAGTGGATGCAGCTTGGAGACTCGGACATTATTTTCATTCGCCTCAATAATAGACTTCAAAAGTAACTTTCCTATAAAAAATATCTTGCAAAAGTTCAAGTTGTTAAAAAGGATAATGGCATGGTCAACATAGCTCATCTAGTTTAAAATTGAATTCGAACCGAAATAAGAAATCAAATCTTAATTTTATGAAGACTTTGTAGCTTAACTGACACATCCAACAAGCATTGACATGTGGATCGTCATCATTTATGGTTCATTGAATGTTAACGGAAGTAAAGTAAGAGTCTTCCTCAAAATATAAGGGGGGTCTCAATATACATCAGGCCATATTCACCAAGTTTGTATTACTCATTTTCTTTACCAACAATATTGATTTTATCTTCGAGCTTAGTTTTATTATTCACTCTATCATTTTTTTTCATCTCCATATTTATCAATGGCCTTAATCAAATTGTTATCCCTAACCTCTTTGGAAAAAAAATCACCTTAGAGACATTAGCATCAGTAGCTACCAAGTTACTTCAGCAAAACCTATAGCAAATTGCAAACCTCAATCATTTTCTTTTTTCCCATTCTCTCACATTTTTTTAATATTTTTCTCTTAATCAACAATTTTTTCTCACTTTTCATATGTCTTATGATTCGGATCAACGCCTAAACCACTCGGCCTCTACACACATCTAATATTTGAAAGTAGAAAAGTTAAATTTGTCATCAGATATATCACATGGTCTTTTAAAGACAATTTAGAACATTTACACTCGAGGAGTGATCAAATAACTTCAAGTCCATGAAATGGTCACACCATAACATCTTATTAGATCGAGACTGATAAAACACGTAAGAAATGCATGATCAGTAAGAAATTTGGATGCACATATGTAAGAACAAGTTTGGTTCTACATCTACTTACCTTTATGTTTTGATGATAACAAAGTGTAGAAGTACAATTTTATGCACTAACTGTTTTCTTAAGTGTGCAGAGACTTAAAGGCTAGAACATAATCTAAATGAAGAGAACAAATGTTGAGTGAAGCAGATTTTGACCAAGCAACTTCTAATGCTAAGTCTGAATTCAACTCTGATAGTTAAAGACTCTGAAGAAGTCAACTATGATAGTCAACTCAGAAGAAAACAAAATCTAATGA